AGTATTGACGTACCTGCAACATACAAGTATGGACTTAACAACAACAGTTTTTGTCAGGAAATACCTTAATGCAAGACGGAAATTCATGCAAAAGTTTACAAAATCACGATGACGTTAATCTACCTAGAATGACGAAGTTCTCTTTCCCTCTGGGCAGGTCTTCTTCTTCGTCCGTTCTTGAAATCAATAGTATCAAAGATGTTTCGTATCCCAACACGGATTCCGTGTTAGATTGTGCTTGGAAGACGGTTATGCCGCACTTTGATCGAAATGACTCTGGGACTCTCCAGGCCTGCTGCAGCGCTATGCCGCCGCCTGGATGTCTCAGTCTGAGAGGACTGGATTTTTTTTATTGAGCTTCACAGATTTTCCCGTCCCCCGCCCCAGCGTTCTCATCACACCCGCTGATCTCCACTCCAATCGGTTGACAACGCTGAGCCAATGATACACGACTGTTGCGTAACGGTAAGTATGGGCACAAAGAACGTTGACCTTTTCTGATGATCCAATCACACGTGGTTGGGCAAACGTACCCTGGATGCCAAACTAGTATCGGGCCGTTAGCCTTTTTCCTTCGGCAGCCGAGAACCCTTCGCCCGCCTACCTAAATTACCGCTACGGGGGAGTTGAGCCCGATGGGAGTTGGCTGGCCAAACTCCCCCCGGGCTAGACTCCCCCGTAGCGGTAATTTACACCAGCGGGCGAAGGGCTTTTGCGGCCAGGACAGCGAGTTTGGATTCCAGGGTAGGGCATACGTAAAGAGACGTTTTATTTTGAGACACTTACCACAATCTTTCCAACGTTTTTGCCATCTATAAAAGACATCCATAAAACATTATTTCTGCTAAGATTACAAAACCCACTCATCATTGAAAACGTGGGGTTCTTCATTATCCACTACCTTCAAAGAAGAAGCAGAACACTTCTGTACTTTACTTAGAAATATCTGTTAGATGTATGGACAAAACACTTGTATACCTTGTACGTTACAGCTTACCTCAGGCAAGAATTTGCAATACATTTGACATACATAAAGATGACGAGTACCCATGAATATAAAATGAAGCAGTGAAGCGTTATGTAACCTACGTCCTCAACCTATTTCCTCGGAGGTACCCTAAATATCAGCCCAGGGCCCTTCAAGTAACCATTTTCCGTCAGAATTTTGGGAATTTTTGCTCCATGAGGGTCAATATACATTGGGATAGTTTGGTTTCAAATCAATATGTAGTACATACGTAGATAAATGACTAGAATATTGTCTTTGAATAATCGGGTTTCCAAGCCCTAAAACTGCACTGGATACCTTCCACATACAAATCACAGCGCGTCGTCTTTCGCCACGGACTCATGCCTGAATAGTTCGGAGGCTTCGGGTGATTGAACGTGTGTTTTTCAAAACACAGTGGCACAAAAACGATATGAAATATCTAAATATAAGACGCCATCATTCACGCATACCGCATCTTTTACCTGCATTGAGAGAAGATATAAGGTTTGGCAAGTTGCCAGTAAGAAATGCCAAGACATCCCGGTTAAGAAAACGCTCCTTTCATCCGAGATGATTCCCTTAATTTCCGAGTCAGTGTGAGGAATGCTCTCGTCTCGTGGGAAAGCTTTCACTTCTTTGAAGGAAAGTTGATTTATATTTCACTCGCTGTCGATGGAATTTAAAGCGTTAGTTTACATACCCTGGTGAAAGAAAGTCATCGAGTCAATATATGCACTATCCGCACATCTAGCCAAGCGGAAAATAAAGTAATACTTTGCTACGTGCGAAGGAAAATCTTACATGGATGTCATAAATATAACGCGCATCACGACTTCACATCAAAGTCACAGTAAAATTGAACTTGAAACTCTGTATATTCGTCTACACTTCAAGAAAAGAGAAGCAGTACGTAAATTATAGGGATAGATAACTCTCTTTCAATACTAATACTCCTGACATCCACTGAGAGACCCAACCTGAGGTTCCCTGCATGTGACTCTGCCCGGCTGCCGACCCCGGTCTCCCCTACTCTCCAAGCAGAGGTTGTGGGGGAATGGTCGTTAGCTTTTTATATATGGCCCGTTTTGTTTGTCGCGCATGGACCCTTTCTGGCCAATTGGATACTGCCTGGCCAATTTGATACTCTATTTTTGCGACCCTAGGATCTGCTTGGAGATTAGGTCTCTCCCGGCACCGAGGGTGATTACCGCGCCGCGTGACAGGGGAGTGGAACTAGTCTCCACCAGACTTCTTTGCGGGGTGAATAAATCGTAGAAATCGGCCTAAAAAGGGTATTAATTGGCCAGAGAAGGTAGCCGGCCAGAGAGGCTCCAGGCCCTGGTGGAGACTAGAGTGGAACCGCCAGGACAGATCCAATCAGCCTCCGTCCCAGCAGGGCTGCAGCCGGGGAGAAAGGTGACGGCAAATTGCCGGGCTGTCCTCTCATCCCCGGGGTGCCTCTGCTGGTGTCGTGATCGGGGGATTAACGTTAAAGGCATCCAGTGTAGTTTTTATGGCTTGGAAACCTGATTTTTCAAAGTCAATATTCGAGTTGTTTATCTACATACTGAGTTGAAACCACACTGTCCCAATGTATATTGACCATCTTGGAGCAAAAATTCTGACGGAAATGTAACTGGAAGGGCCCTTGGCTGATTTTTGGGGTACCTCCCAGAAAATAAATGACTCATCTTGCGGCTTGTTTCTGCAGTTGTAAAAGCCCAAATACTGACTCAAATGTGCTAATGTCAAGCAGTATGTGTGAATATGACAAAGATTGCCTTATTCAGAATATCTCCATTTTTGCTGCCATGAAATCACATTGGATGCCTTTAACGGCCCTCAGATGTTTCACGTACAGGGATCGTTTCGCAAATACGTCTATCTGATCCTCTCTGTCTGTTAGTCTAGAAACATGAAACCAATGACAATGAAATGCAACAGTTCCTGAAAATATTCAAACGTGATGGACAAGGATGACACGAGGGGAAATCATGAAACATCAATGGCAGACAATAGTGACAATGACAATGAAATTTATTGCATATACATGCCCCCCTTGGAGGCTAAATGCAGTAAGTTTAAAGAGTAAACCGGCACATCTGTTTTCCCTCAAAATACAAAAGTTCTACTGCAGTACCAAGGTCAGCCACCAGGAGGTCCATGTTTGACCTTGGCCTTTGGCTACCTAAGACCTACCAGCATACCAAATATCATCACAATCCATAAAGGCGTTCTGAAGTTATGCTGACTACAAATGTGCGAAAACACACACACACACACACACATACACACACACACACAGACGCGCCAAAAACAATACCTCCATTTTTCATGGAGGTAATGAGGTCCCTATTACGTGATACCGAGCCTAGGATTACTCCAGTCGTTAAGAACACAAATTAGCGTCGGCTGTGGCATCAAAGTGTGGCCACCGGCGCGCGTGCCGTGGATCAAAGTAATTCACACTAAAGTCCCACACGGAAGAACACAGCGGCAGCAGAGCTACCTTTGAGCAGGTTATTTCCACGGGAATGAGCCCTGCGTCCACCGTGTGAACATGCGTCTTTCTTTCATCTCGACGAGCCAAAATAAATTCAGCACTCAGCAGTTGATAAAAGATTCTACCTGCTGTGGAGTTGTCGATCGAAAATCGTCAGATGTTGTGCAAGCACCACCGTATCAAACGACGAGTAAAAACAACATTATAGTTAGACGTGCACGACGCCTATTGCGATTGAAAGAGCACGCATTATTATACTCGTAACACCCTGATAGACCTACTGGTTCACAAACTTTATAGCCCACTCGAGCAATACATCACAATGCCATTTATTGCATTGAAACGACAATAGAAGTCATAGTATTTGAGTTTTATTATTTATTGGCGTTCATTGTAGTGCAACTACATGTACACGTACATGGCATGATAGTAGCTATTCTGTCCTAACACACAACACGACACACAGGAAAATGTACAAAACATAAGTACATTGACAACAATGTATGGCTGACTGACTGTCTACCAATGTAATCCCGCCCGAGTCACGGCATTATTAAGTGATACACTCGTGATCTAAGAACGGTTAGACCGTGAGGTCGATTCTTTTTGACGTTACTCACTTCAAGAACAGATGGTCCTTAAAACAGGTAAACCTTTAGCCTGTAGTCCAGCCTTGAGTTGTTGTAATAGGTTTAGTCCTAAATGCGGGGTAGGCGGATCTTTTGGAGGGGGGGGGCTAAAGCTATTAAACAAGGCTGAACTCATTTGTGGACGTGTTGGAATGTCATCTGTACTATGCAGTATTTACGTTCACAACCATACACCCCAAACATGGCATGAGCCATACACACAGCTTCACATATTGTTTTTCCTGCATAAGATACCACTGAATGGACCTCACAAGTTCAATTGGGACCACGCCCCCTTTTCCCGGTCGTTCACAATTTGGGCTTTTGGGGGTAAACATTGAGATTATGATACTTCATTGAGCCCTTGGTTTCATGAGAGTCTAATTTAGACGCTCAAAGACTCGTGATTAGCCGATAGCAAAACTACGAAAACCACGCTCTCCTTTTTCAGCACTCGGTTCCAGTGCAGAAAGTGGCTTCAGCACTGGACTTCCAGTGCTGAATGGCCGTCAGCACTGGACTTCCAGTGCTGAGGCGCTCTCAGCACTGGAAAAGCTGGCGTCAGCACTGGAACCCGAGTGCTCAGGCGACATTGAGCACTGGAAAACGAGTGCTGACGACCATTCAGCACTGGAACACCAGTGGTGAGGGCGCTTCAGCACTGGGAAAAGGCCGTTCAGGATTCAGCACTGGAACACCAGTGCTCGGCTCTCGTCGGCACTGGACGTCCAGTGCTGACGCCGTTTTGTCCATTGAATCAGCACTGGAACACCAGTGCGGAAGGCGTGGCTTTCGTAGACTTGCTAGCCGATAATAGGTTAACCTCACCCAGAAATGGTAGAAACAACTTTCCTTTTTTTTACCAAACCACCTTCAGTTTCGTCGTAGTCTCGCAGTTGACATCTCGCGAGAACATACGAGATCCATCATGGCGGAATCTGGAAAGAATAGTTACGAGTTTTCGTCTTTGACGACGGAAAGCTCCACACCGGCGGAGTTCTCCTTCGTGACGACAAGCGAGACGGCTTCCTATGGATATTCTGGTACGCACGAACTCTGTAAACCTAATCCCTACCCTGTCGCACTGCGTACACAGCGCTATAATTATGTCACTTACGTGGCAGGTATAGTATGATTGGGGTGGGGGGCAAAACGTTCTTTTGAAAAGCCGCCGCAAAGCAAATACTTTGATAGCCTGCAACTGTATATAATGACAATAATATAATGAGAATAATATTTGCTTCGTTCTCAAAAGTACGTTTTTCGTAATTTGCAGTGCGAGTTTCTGAAGTGAGTGTCATGTTCACTTGTTGTTATTGTCAAATTATGTGACGTAACGTATTATGATCATATTTGATTACCCCGGAAGTGTGAGTTTTCTTCAAGTTCAATAAGACTTGGAGCATGACCCGGAGGTTGCCATAGACACGGGTACCATGGAGGGCACGCCCTCCAAATCCTCGGGCTCTTCCACTTGCACAACAAGTGCCAACGTTTCAATCACTGTATGTCATCTTCATCAGAGCAATAATTATGACTGGTTCACTACATATATGCACTGAAGCTAGGTGTTGCTGTTGTCAACAATGCAGCCTGATGAAATCACCAACCTGATGAAATAATTCACGCATTTCCGATTTCTGCACTGAAGCTAGGTGTTGCTGTTGTTTAATATAGATATAGATTCTTTATTGACACAACAAAAAAGTACAGAGACTTTATATAATAACAATGCAGCCTGATGAAATTATTCATGGCTCTCTGTTTTCTTGTTTTCTTTTTTCTTTTGGTACAGCGGCTCATGTGACTGGCTCCATGGAGCATGACCCGGAGGCTGCCATAGACATGGGTGCCATGGAGGGCACGCCCTCCAAATCCTCGGGCTCCTCCACGCGGTACCGGGGCGCAGCCGGGCAGTTCCTGGACAAGCGGGGCTTCGGGTGGCTGATGGAGGTGGACGCCGCGGACGATGATGATGACAAACCTCTGCTGTGAGTCTGGGTTTATCACTGAGTAATGACCAAGTCTATCCCTTGAGGCCTATTTCCCAGGGTTTTAAATGAGAAGACGAAATTGCAAGTTGCTAGATCAGTGTTCTACTTCTAGCCAGTGTCTTTCAATGGAATTTTGCCAGACAAAAATTTTTCCCAATCTGTCATCTTTGATAGAAAAAAAAAATTGGTGTGTTAAGATATGGAAAGAGATGTCATCTTCATCTTCATCTTTGCCGGGGCTCTAAGATGTTGTATAAGCCCCGGCTACACCCCCATATAGCCCCTGTTGGGGCACTTTAGGGGGGGACTTGGGCTTGGGCTAACAGCAAAATTTGCCCCTGAAAATGCAGGAAATAGTGTTTCAGAATCAGAGGGTCAAGATTTCAAAATTTTCTCAGGGGAGCATGCCCCCAGACCCTACCCATAGGATTGCTTGCACCTTAAGTGCTTGACATGACATAATAAATAATACTTGTATATCATATACTAGTACACATGTAGATTGCAGTTTGCTCTTTAAATTTTGAGGGTATAGCAGTAGCCGGTAGATTCTGTCAATCACTGACAAAATGTTTGACAGTTTTCAAAAATCTATCTGTATCGGTATAGCTGGTATAACTGCCCTTTGGCATAACACACCAGCTTCGCAGGCACGCAGCACGGCGGCAGCTACTAGCTATATCACACCGAATGACTTGTTACACTCAATCTTTGCTCATTTGCACATATCTGGTTGCTTGAGTAACTGTTTTCTTGTATATCATATCACACACTGTATGTACTCATTGTTCCTGCCATCCTACAGAGAGGAGCTGGACATAGACCTGAAGGACATCTACTACAAGCTGCGCTGTGTGCTGCTGCCCTTCCCCTTCCTGAACTTCCGCAGACAGGTCAGTGTTAGAAATACCCATCTGCAGACTGCATTGTGCAGAGACATTTTCAATGTTGCAGAGGAAAAATTGAGCAACCTGCAAGTTTGCAGACTGAAAAAAATCAGTCCAGGGGTTCAATGGTGTTTAGGAGCTTCTGTGTGTACAACTGACTGTAAAATACTAGTATGCAATTAATTATGCATGCATTTTTCAAATTGCATGTAAAATGTTTGCCAACATGCAATTTTGTATATGTACTAGTACATAAATAGTAGTATTTAAGTTATTTCCGAATTGCAGAACAAAATGTTGACATTCTTTAATATTGCAGAACACTGACAAGACAGTAACTTTTTTTTCTGTACGCAAACTCTTCCACTTCAGGGATTCTCATCCTTGCTGCAAGGTTTGCTTTTTGGTGTTGAAATAAATAAATAATAAAAATAGTAAAAAGTATTTCCACTGGTCACTGCAGGTGGTCCGTGACAACCCCGACTTCTGGGGCCCGCTGCTGGTGGTGGTGCTGTTCGCCATGGTCTCACTCTACGGCCAGTTCAGGGTCAGTGATGCAAATCTTCATTAAAATTTTCACAATGCTTGAAAATTTATGGTTTGTTTGTTGATCAAGATTAGACATCCAGGTATAGCCTGGGTGCCATCCTCCATAGTTTCCGCCGGCTCCCTAATGTCACTGGATACGTGTTAGCAAGCATTATACACGTATAATGTCCTTGGTGTTAGCCAGCGACTTGAGGGAGCCGGTGGAAACTATGGAGGATAGCACCCAGGCTAATCCAGGTAATGAAATATACTAGAAAACTGTTACTCAAAACTGTAACTGGATGGATTTTGATCGTGTTTGTTTGTTTGTTTTTCAAAACCGGTGAATTACCTAGTCTTGTAAAATATGTACAAGTTGCATAAGACCATATACTGTGAGATTTGATCAACTTGTACTTTTTGATTTGTGTGGTGGGTTCTTGTGGTATGGCTATCCTGGAACGTGGGTCCTCTGACTTTACAACCCATATAAGAGGATGTCCCTACTGAAGCTGGATGCTGATTTCTGTGTGTGTGTTCCAGTCCAACTTCTGCTAATGTTCTTTGAAAGTTTCTACAACAATTAAAACTTCTATAATCCAAATCCCCACAGAACAAACAGTTAAAGCGAAATTGGCACATAAACGTAAGATCACAGCCCCACACTTCTGAGGGTTGGTTACAAACATTTTGTTGTGTCATGAATCTTACTTTATTCAGGGACAGTTTAGGGCTAATAGCCCCGTGCTAACAATAAAGGGGAGTTGAACAAACTGCTTGCGAGCGAATTCAATTGACCCGGCCACTGACCCCCTACCACAGCGTGTGTCCTGGGACCTCATTGTAGATATAATCCCTGTATCGATACGGGGTGTCCATGCACTGGGGAGCTGGCCTCTTTCTTTCATCACAATGTACGATAGTCCGGTAAGCCTCCATCTGCAATCTTAAGCACTCCTGTTCAAGGCTGCCATCACTCACCCTTATAGCATGGACATGCCGAGTATGACCTCTTCATTTAGCGCAGTCCTTGTACTTAATAAGGTAGTAAAGTGTATTCCAGATGTCCCAGATGCAGTTCCATGCTACATGTATTGACAGCCAGGGCTGGAAATACCCGGCGCACAGCACAAGCGTGCGTTACAAACTTTTTGAAATCACTGCGCCAGTACAGTACTTTGTTTACTTAGTTCAAGTCATCGTCTGCGTGCCAGTCACCATTGGTGTCCCTTTCTGTAAATTGCTGACTTTCTTTTTATTTTACTTCACCTGCCGCCGCCGTGAACATATAGTTCCTTGAACATCCCCAGTTTTCTCAGACTGTGAAATTTTACTGCCATGAACATAAAGTGATTTTTCTATAATTCTATATACCTACAATTGTGCAGGTATATAGAATTATATATAAGAACACTCAAAATTTACACAATCATGTAGGAAGTATAGATTTTGTCTGGTGCAGGTTACTTTCAATGTTAACTGCACCCGTGCAGGTATGCAGAAAAAAGTATTTCAAGCCCTAGATTGTGAACTTTAGCCAAAATGTTGCGACACGTATCCATTATGGTATGATCAGCATATCTGTTTTGTACCCAATTCTTCAAGGATTCCTGTCCCTGTGTACCAGAGTGTTAAGCTGATAACAGGAGGTGGTGTGCGTGCATGTATATCCTTTTAGATCATGTTTTGAAGTCCTTTGTGTGTCCGAAGCCTTTATACATGAAAGCACAGCATGCTGGCTTTGATTTGAAAATCAAATGTTAAATCAAAATTAATCGCACTGTCCATATAAAGCTTCAAACAATATGCCCAAGGCTTCAGTAATCAATGATCCTTTTTTTTTTCCATACTTGTTGTTTTATTATTCAGGCTAACAGCCTGTAGTACTAGTACTTAAATGTGGTTCATTACGACTATTATTCTATATTGCCAGGAGGTTACTAAAGTTTATTTGATGTACTACTGCAGTAGCCTGATTTAAAGGCATCCCAAGCAATGTCAGGGCAGTGAAACTGGATTTCCAAAGTCAATTTTCTGGGCATTTTTTAAACATAAGGCCACACCGACTTAATTTTATGGATGACATCCTCTGAAGACCCCCAAACTAGTGCGCGCGGGCGAAAGAAAAGAAAAATCCGGCCAAAAATAAAAATGATACTAAACCACAGTAATACAAAGCTGGTATTGTGAATTTGGCGCATTACATGGCGACGTATGTGTATACGACAGGCCGGCACATGCTGGCTTTTTGCTGGAATTTATGAATCGGCACTGTACGTACGTACTGAGATCTTGAGTCGTGGAGCTTCGGTAGACTGTGTGCCGTCCTCCAGAGTTACCACCGGCTTCATTGTCGCTTACCACCATGGACTACCCAGGCCTAGAGCCAGGCCAGAGCCTCAGAAGACGTGATGTTTTTTTGTTTTTTTTTTATCAGGTGAAAATCAATGCGCTCGCGGATGTCATCCATAAATTAAAGATAAGTTCACTGTACAAAAGCGACAGTGAAAACAGCACTTGAACATAAAAGTACTGTGAAAAAATCAGGAAGTACAGTACATTCCTTCTCCAACATATTCATTGATCTTCCTACTGTATATTGTATATCTTGAGTTTCCTCACATCAGTGGCACTAAAGCATAGAAATCACCACCTGTGGCTAGACTACCTGCTGGCTCATCCATCAACTTTTATAACCCGAATCTGGAGCCTTCAAATGCTGAAAGACAGTTTACGTACATGAAATATCAGACAGTGAATTGTATTGGCAGGGTCTTTCATCATTCTGTGCTGCCCACACATGGAGTTATTACTGTGTGTGGGCCTGTTGTACTGACCTGTATATACGTTAGCATGGCTTCCTCAGTCACTCTGACATCTGGGTTTGCCAGGCGCTGTTCAGATTCATCTTTCCACTGATGGAAGGTGGACAGGTGAATTATATATAGGTGCAACAAATGTAGCTGGTGAAAAGATTTTGAAAGCATGACAATGCATTTCTTCTCCACCCTTGTGATGTATACCACTAAAGATAAGCTTGAATCCCACTAAGCTCCCAGACCTTTACTGACCATGAGAGAAACCATCAGATCTGAAGAATCAACTTTTATCAGTCACGATTACTCTCCAAGCAGAGGTTTGGCTTTTGGCTTATTATTGGCACGTTTTTTTTTTGCTAATTAGGCTTTTTTATCGGGCTTTTGTTTTTTGCAGTTTTTTTTTTTCCAACTCAAGCTCTGATTCTTACAGGATGGAGATTATATATACAGTCAAGTGTTTCCTGTACTGCAATAAATCATGTACCTGGAGCAATGGCTGAATGTTCTTGAAACATTTGTGAAAAGTAGAAGGTCCAGACATGTTTGCTATGCAAAGGTTGACTGGAAGTGATCCAGCAGTTACCAAAGGAAGCCTCCTTGATAATCTTGATAATCTGGTGGGCCCAGGGAATGCCATAAAACTACTAGTAGCCTAGAGTTGCAAACTGTTCTCTTAGTGCAACCCTGGCATATCATCTGTCTATTTGGCCAGTATCTACTCTTTCCAGCCGCTTCCCGAAGCCTGGTAGAGGCTACGGTAAAACCAGCGTCCCAGGGACATGGAACTTTGGAAGTCGATGTGGAAAGTTCTCGCTTCGTGCGGAGCTGCTTGCCTCTGCCACACATGCGAAGTCACGAGCACACTGCATTCTGGGACAAGGATTACAAGAATTAGACCCAATGGTGCAATCCAGAACTGATGAAGTTTGTACATATATACTTAAGACTCCCAAACTTACTTACCCAAGAACCATCTCATGAGACACTGGATTTGATATATACGTACATTTTTGTAGAAGATCTTAAATCAACCATGGCTGATGTATACGTGGAGTACAGTAGTGCAGCAGCTTACCCCGCCTGCCAGGGACGATGGATGATGAAAGAGTAACACAAGACAACTGTCATTCAAGCAGCTGGATAGAGGATTTTGAAAACTGTCACATTTCAAGCACATCCACTACTACTGTAACTGTACTTTTTGTCAGTGTCGTCATTGATGAAAAGTAGTGAATGCTACTTAAAACATCTGACAGTTTTCAAAATCTATCTAGCTGCTTGAGTAACTGTTTTTTTTTGTATATCTCAATTACCTGGTCTAACTTGTCTCATGTGTATACAAATAAAGATATTAAGAAGTTTTTCCGAAAATAGTTTCATCAGGTTGGTCAAGTATAGGATACAGGAGTTTTCTTTTACACAACCAAAATTTCTCACTTAGGCCACACCAATTTAATTTGTTGGTTCTCGGATTCGCCTCTTCGTTTTTTCTGATTTGAAAAAAAAAAAATTTGATTCTGGTCCTGAATCAACAGTTACTGAAAAATGCTCATGTTTTGCCCCCAACAGTTGAGGAAAGTCCTTTTCTTTCTAGTTGTTACAGTTTTCCCATCTATCATTGCAGTGGTTTGATTAAAAGTTCAAAATTCAATGTTTAAATTTTAACCCAGCCTTTTGTGTTGACTTCATGGCTCATTTTGTAGCATTTAA